AATCTAGAATACTTAGAAGAAAGGATCATTAACGGAATCATGATTACGTGAGATTGATTGAAGCGATTAAAGCGATGTCATCACAGACCCGCACGATGGCAGGACGTATGCGCGATCGATGGAATTCAATTTTCCGCGAGAAAAAGCTCCTCAATCTCGCTTTAGCAGGTGCTTAGAACTTTACGGGGAATATAAAGGTATATATGGACGAAGAGATGCTATCGTCGCGAACAGACCTCTTCCTTTCCGATTTTGCTGGTCAATTCTGTCTACGAGCGGTGCCGTCATTCGAGTAGCGCATTGTGCGTTCACCGGATAATCTCTTCTCTCTGATAGCTCTTCTTAAGATGGCATATACTGATGGTTTTTAGGCATTATAGATTGTTCGAAAACGGATATCGATTCTTATGTTTATTTCCGTTCCATAATGGTTGATTATTCCGTCACAATGATACTTCTCAAATATTTTCTTAGGAGATGCTAAGAGTTTGAGAAAATATGTATTTTTGTCTTTTTTTATATTAATCTGACATTTATCAACAAACAATATTTGATATCAAAAATATATGTTTACTTTAATTATTTAATAATAAATCAATCAATTTTATCGTTTATATCTTTTTATAAAGCTTTTTTTTTTAAACATGATAATAGATATAAAGGAGGTAATAATCTTTTCTCGCAAAAATTTCTTTTTGTTGTATATATGTATGTTTTATATTTGTATATGTTTCATGTACATTGTCGTCTAATTTTCTCGAGATTTCAGAGAGTACTTTACTGTGTCCAGTTGTGGAAAATAGTACATATAAACTCTTTTCTCAGGTGCTTTTGATGTCTATGTTCCTCGAGTTCAACGTTTTACTTCAGACTGTGAATTTCGGGTTTTCTGTACTATCTCGCTATATCGATCGTGTGTTTCCTCGGGCAAGGAGATTATTTTAAACCTTTTTAATGTGGAACAATTAGAATATATGATTAAGTTTGCAATATTTACTATGATATATTAATGGACGGTTTCCATATTATATACTATTTTGTAAAATATTGTTCCATGTTCCATTAAAATTACAGATTAATGGCATTAGCCATTCAGATGACACGTAAAATATTTTCTCGTTAAGATGAAAGAGTCTGATCTAATAGCATGCAATATATAAATGACGGATTATTGGAGTCAAATAAATTGACCGTTTGTATTTTTAGTTGTTATAAACAAATATTAAAGTAAATATTACAAAAAGTGCTACATAAATTATATATAAATTTTTTTTAATATTTTATAAAGAAAAATATGAATATGATATGTCATTTTTAGGTATATAAATTCCGCATTTATATTATACACACATTTACTATTAAATATCTAAATTTTAACCAGATAAAATATTTTCTTTATGAGACATAAATTTCAGAATTAAGCCGCTACGTTTAATTTTAAATAGGAACATGCACACATTTTATGAATATGCGCCTCTTTATTTAATACCCAAAATATATATTAAATATAATAATTAATTTATAATAACAAAGATGATAAAAAATAAAAACGTGTAAAAGTCGAGAGATGCCGTCAATTAAAGTAAATGAGTTAATCACATTTGGTTTTCTATGTGTTGTGTGTATGTATGTATGTATGTGTGTGTGTTATTCTTTCTCTCTATTTCTCTACATTTCACACACAGTGAATTTTCCCAGAAAAATTTTTCCCTTCATTTCTTATGCAAATTTTTCGGTATTTCTTCTAGTATACACACATACGAATACATTACGAATATTTCGTTCTACTGTTTGCGAAACACTCTGTGTTTGCAGACATTGTCTACATATTAAATCTACAGAGACGGTTCACAGTTTGATAGAAAGTTTGCTTTAAAACTTTTCAGTGTTTACTATTGTCGATTTTGATTTTTTTTTACATCTAGCACTCGGTTACGTTTGATATAATTTTTTTCAGTTTAAATAAAATTAAAAAATAAATTACTTTAAAGCTCTTATTTCGTATGACACATTAAAACGCGTGTTATCTGTCGCGACATTTCCAGCGAACGACTGGGTTTAGGTTTACAAACTGCGGACTTCCGTTTGGCGAAATGCAAAAATGGATACCGGCCAAATTGTAGCCAAAATATTTTCCTACAAAGATATATCTTCTGATCGACTCCGCAGAATATTTCTCTGCGGTATATCCTTCTACGAACAAACATCACCTACGGTTTATACTGCGCGAAAACGAAAGAATGCCAAACTGAAGCGAGAACGGACAGAATATTCGAAAAGCGATATTCGAACTTTAATTTTTATACTATTGCCAGTTGTTCGAGAATAACATTAAAATTAATCAAGTCAATTTAGATGATGTCTCAACGTTTCCGATGCAAATATTTTTCGAATTATAAATAACAAGTGTTTATGTATCACGGTACTCTGTTCAACACATATCTTTTTCTTTATCGCGAGATAAAAACGTGATAAAGGGGTAAGAAATATGTGGTTATCAAGGGGAATGTGAACGTCTTTGGAGTTTGCGATCAATTCCGGTCACGAGTCCTACAATCATCTCGCGGCACAGTCGTCGGATTATTCTGGCTGAGGGCGTTTCTTGGTGGCTTTCAGCTAGTCCAAGTGAGGTGGAAGTACGTACAATAGTTACCGAACGTTATTGACGTGCTGTAACTACTGACCCTTATGTACGCGTGTATGTACGTGTGTATGTAAATATGTATGTCGCGGTTACTGAACGTTGCAAATTTTTATCAGTTATACATGAGTCTTCGTATTTAATAGTTATCGACGTTAAGTGGTCCATTGACGTTATAAACTTTGTAACATCTAATTTGATATAGGTAGTACGCATCTCTCTCCATCTCGCGCGCACGAAATGTTCGTAATTAACTATAGTGATGAGACAACGCTAATGGGAGTATTCATTGTTTAAGCTTTTAAGCTGATATTCACGCATCAAAATGACCCTGCGCAAATGCGAATTTTGCGGCAATGTAATAATTGATGCAAAGATTTTTAAATGTAGAGAACTCTGTTATGGATTTGTATGAATTTTGCGGAAAACAGCAATTCAAAACAAATGTGAAATGTATATGCGAAAATGCACAAGAGGATATGTCATTTTTTTTTACAAAAAACGAAATTTTATATGAAAAATGCAAAAATGGTATAAAACAAAGATGTATATACAGTGATAAATTTTTTTACACTAGGAAGTCACTAAAAATTGCAAATGAGATATTACAATAAAAGCCGGTCTTGTGTACGATTGAAATTCCATAACTTATGTTTTTATAGATGCAGTATTTATATATACAACTATATTTCTATAACAATATAAAAAAATTTATTTATAGATTTGCAAATTATGTACAAAGGAAATGCAGTTATTTTTTCTAAATTATATATGTACCCTGATAATTATATCCATAGCGTGATTTTAATTTTATATTTTAAAATAAAAATTTTATATTTTATTGAGACATTATTTGATGTCGACACAATCTAAAAGAAACAAAAAATAGTAATTTATACTTTATTTTATTATGTACCGTTTTTTAAATCTATGTAATTTGCGGATAGAGATTTGCTAAATCTTGTTAAATATCACAATATATTTCCACGCATAAGATATACTTGTTTGTTTACAGAATAGAACTAATTCTTACATAATATAATACACGTATGCAAAATTAAGACACGAGTCATTAATGTAATAACAAACATATAGTCGCAGAACAGCAGTTACACTTAGCAGTTACTGTTTGTGTTCTATGGACGTATCAGTAGTTGCGGATCGCCATGTCGGACAGTAGTTAGTAACCGTTATAAACGGACAGTGATTACTGTTCATTATACACGGGCAGTAGTGTGACTGTTATGGCTAACAATTGCGACAGCTACGTTGTCTGATTATTTCAACTAATCATATGATATAAAAGCCAAATATTATAGCAAATTATTATTTATTGTTATTTATAAAAGAATTACAAACAGTGAACCCAAAATTTATTTTAATTATTCGCGCAAAATAAGTAAAAATAATATGAAAAATTGTTATACATAGTTTTATATATTATATTATTTATTACGTGCATTATATACGTGTTATACATATATCGTTAAATGTTATATTATTTATATATTTGTTATATTATAAACTGAATTACTGAATTATAATCAATATACGTAAATTATGTAATAATTTTGTCTTTGTAAACTCAATTACATTGTGAATATTATGCATAATTGTAAACGTAAAAAATTGTGAAAAGAATAATCCAAATTGCGAGATAAAAATATTTTTTAAATTTTAATTGAAAAGTGACAAAGTTAAAAAATTCCAAAATTGTATATATATATATATATATATATGTATGTAAAATTTATATTCAATTTGTATATACGCATTGTAAAAAGAATCGATTTTAAATTGCCTGAAACTCTCTCTTCCATTGTTGCATTGAAATCGAGAGTTTCAGGCAATTTAAAATCGATTCTTTTTATAATGCGTACATACAAATTGAATATAAATTTTACATACATATATATATATATATATATATATATATATATATATTGAAAAGTGACAAAGTTAAAAAATTCCAAAATTGTATATATATATATATATACAATTTTGGAATTTTTTAACTTTGTCACTTTTCAATTGAAATTTTAGAAATATTTTTATCTCGCAATTTGGATTATTCTAAATTTTACAATTTTTTATGTTTACAATTATGCATAATATTCACAATGTAATTAAGTTTACAAAGACAAAAATTATTACACAATTTACGTATATTGATTATAATTCAATTTTTTAGTAAGGAAATCAAATATTTTGCTCGACCGATAGTCCAAAATTGCTAAATATAATTGCACAAATATAAAGTCTGTCGTAAAAAATAAATATTTTTCTGTTTTTTTATCGTATTAATATTGTCCACAACTGTCGAATCTTTAGTAAGAAATTTTTCTTCTGTGACTCGCAGGTGTCGTGGATCAAGCGAAAGAACGTACAGGAGTTACTGACTGTAGGACTGACGACGTACGCCAACGACGAGCGGTTTCAGGCAATTCACTTCCACCACAGCGAGGATTGGACCCTTCAAATAAAATATGTCCAACCGAGGGATGCAGGACTATATGAGTGCCAAGTGTCTACTCATCCACCCACGAGTATATTTCTGTTGCTTGACGTCGTCGGTAAGCGCAACATTTCATAGCGAAATTAATTAACAATTATGCACTTTTTCTTCTTTTTACATTTAACAATTTTTTATATCGAGTGATTTTTATGTATAATACTTCCTTATTATATTAATCTCTACAAAATATTATATTACAAAATTTTATTTACTTTTATTTAATATTTTATACACTCTCTACAGCGCGTGTTTAAAGTTCTGTTTAATTATAACTTATACTATTGTTATGAATCTGAGTGAGTTTATATATATATTGTATTATATGAATTTGTATACCAGAAAAATAAGCTGTGCTTTCCTATATTATCCCATTTTTTATATCTCATATTTAATTTTCTAAATAAGTAAGAGCTTAAAGGATAGGTAATGAAAATGGATTATACTTAAAAGGGGAAATTATACTTTACATTAAGAAAATCTATTTGCAATAACAATATTCACTTCATAAATTGTATTACAGGGTATTTTTCTTTGAAATTCAACGTTTCAGACGTATACGTTTGTAGTGCGAAACTGTTACGATCGAATAGTGATAAATTATTTTTTCTAGCAAAAAAAATCTCGTCGACAGTAACGTCTTGGCGTTTCCTTCACATCTCATCGGGTTTCCTTGCATATGATATTCAACTCACACTTTGTCCGGAATAAATATATGTATATACGTATATACGGGACGCACATACAATTCGTGCGCAAACGTATGAGAAAAACGCGCAAACTTTCTCGTATGCGGTCTCGCATGTACATTCCGTATATCTTAGCTTTTCTATGAAAAGAGGGTCGTGAAGAGCATCGTAAGCAAAGAATGCCGCAAAGCTTTTGTTCGTCTACTGATAAGGGCGCGTCTCTATGAGAGTATAGCCCTCTTTATCCCGTTGCTTCTAATGCCTATCTAACTGTCTCAACAATTTGTGCGCTCCTGTAACATTTTCTAGATGTTTCTCGCGTAACTTTTCTACTTTTACTCTGGAGGAAAGGAAAGGGAACGCGACATTTTTAAGTGTGCTCTCGACGTTATCCTCCCCGGATGAGAATCGCGCAAGCTATTACCTGGCGACAGACATTTTTATTTAGATTTTATTAAACGACAGACGCGCGTAAAGAGGGAAGATCGATAGCGCGAAAATACTTTCCCGTTGTTGTGTCGCGGAAATTTCACGAAATACGCTCTCGACGCGACCAGCCCCAGCTCTCGATGCACGCGCCAGCCAGCCAGCCGCATATTTGCATTTAGATTCGGCTTTTTCCGCCGCGCATCTCTTATGCGCGAGGCTATCTAATTTTCTCGGGATTTCGGTGCCCTTTTTTCGACGCGCTCTACGCGGTTTCACCACTCTTTTCCTAAGGATGCTTTTGATATTTATGTTCTCGCAGCACGCGCTCTTGAGCCTCGGTCATTTATCCAGCCTTTTGAGCTTTAGCACTCTCGATTGCACTCATGATTTTAGGAATTTCTTCCAAGCAATAAATTTCTAATAAAGTGCTGCTGGCGTACAGATTAATTTATGAGGATAATCACGATTTCTGACAATTTTTAATACTTTCAATAAATTATATTTCTAATATTTTTTACATATTTTTAAAACCTGTATGGTGCAGATTAAATTATCGCAAATGTTTGTATTAAAAAAAAATGAGTTATGCATATCTACAATATATATAATATTATAGAGTATTGACTTTTATATTTTGTTGTTTGCGAAACAAACAAAGATAAGAGAAAGGATTTTTGAGAGAAATAAAATAGAAATATATATTTATCTAAATCCGAATATTTTTTTTGTTATGTTCTGTCAACATCTTTATTTCATCAATTTAGTATGGAAATAATCTTCATATATATGTATAAAGACAAAATAAGCGCAAGAATAATTAAATGAAATAGCAACAGATGATTTTATCTACTTGAGAAAATGAAATTTGTTATAAAAAAAATATCTCTCTTGTCTAACAATAAAATATGACATCTCTTTTGAGCTTTTTATCCAATATATAAGTGTATTTTTATCGCAATAATTATATTTTTTTAGAAAGTACATGTCTCTTTAGTATTTCGTTTCTTAAAAAGAATGTTATAAAATTTTTAAAAAATGACACTTTTTTACTTTTTTTGGGATCTTTTATACTTCTTTTTGGGATGCAAGATTGTAATAGGAACATAGCGTGATTAATATCATTTTTCAAGAATATCTGTTACGTATTTTTACTTGTTTACAGTTAATATTAATTTTCACAGCTTTCACATATTTGTATAATACATATATGCTTTAATTATTTTAACATTCTTTTGTACATAATATTTTTAAATGATCTGGTGAACATTGTAATTTTATCTGTATCATTTTCTCGAGCTTTCATGTTTGCTTTTCACTAGTTCTTCCACATGTGAATTACATTCACATATATGAGGCTTCCTTACTGCTTCTTTCATGTTTATGTATCGTCGTCTAAAATGTTTTCGATATGTCTCTGCCCACACACGCTTCTTTTAGCCTCAACATCTCAAAAGACGAGGGTGAAACAATTTAAGAAATTGAACACGACGGATCAAGTCCCACATTGATCGGACTGATCCTACATTACGTTGATGTGTTGCGTAACATAAATATCTAAAATAAAAAAAGACGATATGCAGAATTAATTTGACAATTTCATATGTTATATAATAATTATGACTTCACACACTAAATCCATCTTCATAAATATTACTCGACTCTTTTCTCAGCTAATTGAGCTAGTTGATTTATGCTCTAATTATCAATTAGGTTGTATATAAATAAATTAAGAAATAATATAAAAATGTCGTAATGTAGGACACAACAAATTGTGTTACACATATGCATGAGTGTGTGTATTATTTCATATACATATGTAATATCTAAGTAACAATTTTTGTAGGATCGATTTATTAGACGACTTATTATAAGACTTATTATAAGATAAATCACTCGCGCTCTGATTACGTTTTCTTATTTATATCAGAGTTAATTTATAATATGCCAAGTTGTTTATAATGCGTACTCTAATTCCTGACAGTATATATTTTATGTATGCAGCACCGTAATTTTCTCGAGATGTCGGTTCGTGTTTTTGCTTAGTGCATCTTGGCGCGCTACACGTAACTAAAGTCTTTTCTTACGTGTCTTTAATATTTATATTTCTCCCCGTAAGTGCTCTTGTCTGCAGAATTTAGGGTATTTTTCCGCTGTTGACCTTTCTATCGCACGAAAGCTTCGGAAAAAAGGTGGGACCTCATAAATTATCTATTATCAGATATTAGAGAGAACGCTCAACAAAGTTAACAGAAGTATGAGCTTTTGCTTTCATTCTTCAAGTTTTAAAGAAATTTTAACACAATTTTATAATTTAAATGATAGATGCTTGCTCACTTAATTTTAAAGCTAATTATTCCGGCTTTCATGTTAAGTAAGTTTTATTTAAATTTCTACCTTGCTCGGCACGCAATTAAATTGAACATAGTAAAGTCAAAAATACAAAAACGGAAATGAATGAAAGTTCTTACATTTACGAGACAGATTCTGCTAACTTTCATAAATTAATATTTTTTTTGCATTTAATAATGGGAATTGGCAATTATTTCTTATTATTAATTTAATTTCAAGTAATGTCACGCGTGAATAAATTTGCATTATTTTGCAATGTGGAATTATTTTACAAGATTGTACGGTGCATTTGATTATCCTTCTAATTAACTAAAGATGACTGTGCGTCTCATTTATTTAATTATGCAAATATAATACGTAGTTGCATGCTTAACCAAATTTAAATTTTCGAGAACACACCCTCCTAAAAAGAATTGAGATAAATCTGTCGAAATGCACTTACTATATCGGCGCGCAAGTGGATGAGAAAAAATCCAATTGAGAATACTAAGAATGAGAACTCAGAAGGAAAGGTGAATTTAATGAAGGCATCGAATCGGAAGGAATCCGGAGTATAACTTTCGAATCAATATAATCGTGATATTGTCTTTGAAATGAAGTTTTAAACTCGGCCTTAATGAGCTCTCATTAAAATACAATCGACGCGCCGAGTGAGACGCGAGAAGACTCCTTCGTCCATTTGTTCTAACTCCAAGCATATTTCGTTCTTAGAGGATCACTCTCTCTCTCTCTCTCTCTCTCTCTCTCTCTCTCTCTCTCTATGTCCCTTAGCAAAGTTACTCTGATTTTGATCACCTGATAACGGCACATCCTTCAGCTTCCAATAACCGATGTGTGAGTGTGTGCGATATTATGTTCCATGGTACTTTATATAAGCCGCCCAATTCCCCGAGTAACATCTCGAATTTCTAATTTACACAGCCCTCTTAGTTCTCCATTTAATTACTACGGATGGCATGCAGCCACGTCTGATAAGTCGCGAATGATACTCTGCCAACCGTATCGCCGTTATTAAATAGCGCAACATTTCTTTTCCACGCCCGCGAGAGACTTTGAATTATTAATCCTTAGCGGACCGATGTTATTTCTCACGTGATATAGAGTCTATCTACGCCGCGTCATGCGATATTTATGTCGGTTTTATTACACTTTTGTGTGAGGGAATGAGATAGCTACGTTTCGCTTGCATTAATGGTTCGCATTGAGAATTTGTTGAATTTTTGCGTTACATAAAAAAAAAAAATATCACGAGGATATCGGAAAATGACAAAGAGAAATAGAAGCGTGCGAATGTATTCGATTATTTCACGTTTGCTATTTAATATAAATCAAACTCGAAAAAAATGTTGTAGTTCAATCTGTTTGTATATGTATATAAGGCGTGAATATATATGAAGGTAAAATAAATATTGCAAAATAACATTTTATTTTTTTTTAAATTAATAATTTTATAAAATGTTTTCAAAATTCTTTAAATATAAAAATATTATAAAAATACATATACACGCGCATGTAAAAAAACCTATTCAAAAGATATTGGTTTAATTGTATTTTACCAATTATAAGCTATTTGCAAATCCCATTTTTTTAAACGCATATAGTCGAGCGATATTAAAAAAGATGAAAATTTATCGCGTCGAAATATTCTGTGCTGTTTTGTTGTCGGAGCATCAAAAACCCAGAATTTCTCGTGACGAGAAGAAAGCAAGAAGTCTGTAAACAAAAAGAGGAAATTTATCACGAACCCGGAGCGGGTTCATAATCGAAATGTCGCGTTTTACCGCGAACGACACCAGAATCTCTGGTCGCGATAAAGCATCAGAGGGTGGCCCGCGTAAACGCTCTGTAAAGGCTGTCAAAAAATTGTTCGGGCAAGCATCGGACAAGGGCGTACGCTCTAGCGGTTCGAAACTGCGACAGCTCCCACAGGAATCGACGGTATATTCACTCCAGGTCCCGGGGATACCCTCAGATCGCGCGCAAACGTTTCGAATCACATTTCGACTATCGTACGCGGTCGTGACAGTAGTCGTCCAGTAGTAAAAGCTAGTATCCAGAATGGCTCGAGTGCGCGAATGTTGGTCGGCGTGTTTACAGCCCTCTCCCCCTGCGCACACCTGATCCACTATAATGTCCTTCGCCCTTCTCTTCTCCCTGCAACCCACCCTCATCGTCGACGCGCGGCGTGTCAGGTCGCGTCGAGTGAAAGGGTGAAATGCGCCAGGGCGTGAGCGGACTTAAAATTCGCCCTCGCTCCTCGCGAGATACCGCAAAACGTGAGTCATCTCGACAGTATTTCTCAAAGTCAGGATCAGAAACTCCTTCTTAGTCAAAATTCTCTCGTGTCACGAAACTCAACCGATGCTTATTATAAATGATGCCGGCGAACGTATAAGACATCGTTCTTATATCATTCACGTTGAAAACGAATTTCATGAAGTTGTAATGTAATAAGTAATGTGGAAAATAATAATTTATGCAGTGTAATATACATGTATGAATTTTGTAATATATATATATATATACCTATGTAGATACTTTTACAAGATGTAGAGTCGCGATTTCTTTTCTGTCTTTATACTTTTACTATTGGCGCACAAATAATATTTATCACTGATAAAAATGTCTAACACACACTGAATTGTGTCTATAATATTTATAAAAATCTACTATCGGATCGAATGTTTTTGAAAATCAATCAATCGTTTGAAATTGACATCTAATACGATGTGCTTCGCGAAAGTAGATAACCAGCAGCAGACGTAAATTTTTTTTTTTTCCAAAATGTGCAGCTGTCAAAATATCAAACCATATCACGTTCGTAATCGCTTTGAAACGCTACACTCAAATCATGAATTTATCAATCCTGTGTTTCGATTTAAATATTTTTCTGAGAGTTCGGTGTCATACACTGCTATCGATTTACAAATTTCAAAATCAATATAAACGATAGAGAATCCAGACGAAAGAATAAATGGCTTCAATTTACGATAGAACTTGTTAAAAATTCTATGCGAGTACAACAATTGATAACAGGAACAGATATTAAAAGAAGATTATCTTTTCATGATTGATTCCATTTTTGATTGATAGCACTACATGTCGATAATCCGTAATAGTATAAGGCATTATCGGTACGCATACGCAATTTTCAATTTTCATTAATATGTATCATTTTCATTCAAATAACTTTGTTAGGTTTAATTAAAATAAACAGCTTTTACATAGTATGTATTAAATTTCCACAATGATTAACATAAATGAATATCAGATATCGATATTGTTGACTTGGTTATTGAACTAATAATCCTTTTAAACTGATTGTTCCAGAAAATATCACGTTACATTAAACACTAACTCGTAAAGTAATTAAAGATAGTAAATTTTGAATTATGAAATTCGTAATAATATTCTCTTGACGATATTATTTTATCGCGTTTGAATAGTAATAGCAGCAATTGTCACTCTCGAGCGTTAAGTTGTCATTCTCGCCAATATAAATTACAATTTCCGTGAATCAGCAATATTTATCACCGGGTGACAACTATTGTAGAGAGAAAAAGTACTTTATGGAACATATTATCCCAGAACATCATCTAATTGAATACTTAATTAATAGACAATTTACTCAATGGGGTGAATTGTTCCAGAAATTAATTACCTCAAGAGATTCACTCTAACTAGGTAATTAATCACGATAGAAAACACGTTTTGTTGAATCATATTGTCCAGTAAAAAGATCTATCCTATTGTTAGATCTATAAAATGTTTTAAAGTTTCTTTCAATATTATTTTAATAATACGTAATAATAATAAAAAATAAAATTTTTGTTCTGCTCAGTCTGTATTTTACACAAAGCTTAAGTTGAAATAAAAGATTAAAAAAATATTTTTATCATTGTAATGAAATATCATATATCGAAGTCATAATCGATATTCTTCAATATCTGAATGTCATAAATGCAATTGGCATTCGACTAATGGAAATAGCAACATGCGGACTTGTTACTCCAAATGAAAAGTTAATTATCAATCGGATGCTTTCATACAAATACTGCTTACAAACGCATATGCATGTGTAATACATTTTGCGTGTTAATTATAATTTTAATATCATTGGATAAAACATTATGTCAGCATTTCCGATAAATCACCCTGCTGTGGCAATTACATCAATTGCCTATTACACAAATCTCATAGACCAAATATCATTGGGGTTTCCCTCGTCGAGAAGTATCGAATTACGATCATTAATAAATTACCGTATATTCGATCGTTCATAATTGCCAAATTACAGCGCATACATATTTAGGCAACTATTTTGAGAAGTTAGTCGAGTATGATATAAAGATGAATTTGGAAGTAGCTAAACTTTTTCAAAAAGTCGACGAATTAAATTATTGTCGTTTGTATCTTTTGATAAAATTTGAAAGCAGTTTATTAAGATTTATTAAAAGATTGGATTTATTAAAAAACATTTCGTAAATTATACACTCGAACAGAGTACAATATAAATATAAAATCAGATAAGACATATTTTTTATCGGCTCTCGATATTAATAATAATATAAATAAGATGTTTTTAAATCGGCCAACAGAGCCAAAGAGCGAACAATTAATTACTCGGAACTGTATCTCTTGGTTTGAGATCATTCCCGCTTCAGCGACTTTTCGGACCTATATTTTTCGCGCCTATTTCTCCATATGTAAGTTCGAGATTAATTTTTATATGGAACTTAGTGATCTCAAACCAAGAGATACAGTTTCGAGTAATTAATTTTTCGCGCTTTGGCTCTGTTGGTCGATTTAAAAACATCTTATTTATATTATTATAAATATAAAAATTGAAATTATATAAATATTTTTTCCGTGATAAGAAGATTAGCACAGCGAGCGATTATCTTGAAAAATTTATCGCGTTTAAAGATGAATCTTTTTTTTCAAATGCTACGACAGAGTGATAAATACTGAATGATACGGCATTTTTGATAGAAAAATTGTTTCCAATCGAGATAATAATTTTCTACGCGACGAATTTGACTGGTTGAATTTTTTGAAGATAATCCGTTATGCCAATCTCCTTAGCACGGTAATAATTTGAGAAACCCTGATGCTACGTGCCCGAGATCCTGTCGCTCCCTCGTACGAGCTATTCTCTCTTCCCGTTTCCCGCACAGCCATAGCAGTAAACAATACCCCCGACGTCTATCCAGGGCTATAAGCGGCTCACGTCTCACGTGTCACGTTCGGCCATTTTCAGAAGCCAGAACGGAGATAGCCGGGCCGGTGGAGAAATTCGTGAGGCCGGGCAGCACGCTGCAGCTGCATTGTCTGGTGAAAAAGTCGACGGAGACGCCGTTATACGTCTTCTGGTACCACAATTTCCGTATGATCAACTACGACGTCGATCAAGGCGTCAACGTGAGCACCGATCTCGCAAATCGGGAGAGCTGGCTGGAGGTGCCAAGAGCGTCCGACCGTCATTCGGGTAATTACACTTGCGAGGCCAACAACGCTCAACCAGCCCGTGTCCTGGTGCACGTCTTCAAAGGCGACAATCCAGCGGCTATGCAGCACAGCATGGCGTCGTCGCCGTCGATGATGGCTTGCACCGCTTTGCTCACCATGTTCGTCACGCTTAAGCTGGCACTGCAGACGAACTGGACCTTGTGACGTGCGCGAGTGTAAAGACTAGCTCCCGTGCGTGTTGGAATCCGAAATGTGTGTTAGCGAAATTGTGTAATGTCGTCATTTATCGTGTCTCATCCTTTCTCGCGGATTGTATTGTGCAAGGATGTGAGTGCCCTAGTTCGCTCGCCGAACTTGTAGAACGGCGGCATAGTCATGGTGTTTCCAGTTGAAGACGCATCGTTGTTATTGATATCGGTGACATCGAAACTCTCTTCGAGCTGCGAGATTGCCTGTGATTGATTACTATCCCTTCAGATCATCAACTTTGCGCAGTATCGAACAAAATACGGTTTCGAGCAGCTGTGATCATTTGCGCCATTCGAGCCATTTAGTCCATCCTACGCGCGTTTAATTACAATTCAATGAGGGATATGTAACAATGCAGCATGCTAATGCAAAGCAGGATATCATCACCGCAAGATTATTAATGATCGATTATCATCTGTTAGTCTCTCTCCGTGTGTATCAATGAAAATTTCGCAATTTAGGAGATATCATGCCTCAAATAGAGATTGATATAATAAAAGTATCGTAATAGCTCACCTGTTCGCGCACGTAATTGAACGGTTATCTGTCGGACCAAAAAAGTTCAATCCTATCCTGGAATAAAGTGCCATCATAACTTTCAGATGAATCACACTATATCATCCGTTCTTCTATCGATCGATCGCTTACATTCCGTGTCGCATGTTGGAACGAGAAATATTAGGTCGTAATGCAGAGGCAGATGGTATCGAAAGAGTGCTGGATTAACTCCCGCTAAGATAATATTCACGATCGATCGATGTCTACGATTCGCGTGCACATTCGATGGAACAAAATTAACGTTAATACAAACGAAGACAGCCTCATCAATTCTCTCTTTCAGTAGCTGATACGAAGAGTTCGATAAACGCTCCGCATATCGACTTCGATGAACTGGAATTTTTATCGCGCGTGAGCATGAATAAACGTACACGTATACGAATGAAAATTGTTAGAGAGAGAGAGAGAGAGAGAGAGAGAGACCCTGATTTATTTACGCTCATCGGACAACTTATGTAATTAAGCGTTAAGTTTAAAATGGTAGAAACAAAATCACACGCGCGATATAGATACTTTATCGAGAGTGCTCGTTCTACTTATGGCGCGTGTGAAAGTAAGATTGATAACACGGGTCGGAACTATTCGTGATACATCAAACCACGATGCGTGAGCATCAACGATCGCCAGCGACGGATGCATTAAAGTAACGTCGATGATACATTCGCCGTCACGACGCAGCATCGTTAATCGTTCGATGCTGTTAGCTGCTTTGTTCACGTCTTGACAGGTGCCATAAATACAGCAAGATGGAAGAAATACAGCTCCGAAAAGTTACGAAAGTAACATCTTTCCTCACGGACGGCCTAAGATGCTTTACCGGCAAAAAGACTTTAACGAGGATTAACGAACATCTTAGAGTGTGATAGTATTTCCGATGTGCACCGAGCTTGATGAGTGGTAAACGGTGGACATAAGTGAAAGTAATGTCGAAACTTAAACAAACAAACAAACTCAACTTGCTACTATGTGTTCTATAGAATGGCTCTTTGCAAGCCGAGCGCGCATGCAAGTGAACATCTATTAAGTGCTCCAGGATGTGAAACTATCGTGCCAAATTTCTTTTATAATTCAAAGTTTATTGAAAGTCAAGTTTAAGAATTCTTCAGACTTAAACCGTTTGCATCGATCAATAAAGTATGTTTGTATTTGTGAGAAAATTATTTCCAATAAAATTCAATCCGATAATTTCATCGGAAATTACGTTAAAATTTTTGCATAAATTCTTTAATTACAGTGTTGCTGATTATACATTCTTCTATTTCAATTTCTTTGATTAAAATTTAATAATTTAACAAATCGTTATTGATATGTGAAAATATAGGTATTAATAAATTAAATATAAGTCTTTCTCTTTCTCGCATTGAATAAATAATGAAATATAATTAAACTTGTTAATTTTGAATGTAACAATCATATTATAATGTTTTTGGAATATGATGCGTACTATAAAATTAAATTTCATATTTATTATTAAATAGATTTTTAAACGAAAAGAAATTAAGGGCATTTATATGTGCAAAAATCTTAATCGTAAAGATCAATTTGCATCTTTCAATAATCAAAGACGATGCGATCGGCTTAAGTAATGTTATGCATAATTAACGACGATAAAATAAGTGCAGTACAATCACATGTCGCGTTTATTTCATCTTTGCATAATTCAAAAAATAGACGCAATGCTCGTTCAATATTCATCGTTACTGCTTCGTTCGAGAAATTCGAAGAAGAATCGCAAGGTTTCTTTTTCTAATGCGCAAGTAATACTCTTTTACGCTCCTCAACGAGCATGTACTCGAGCGACAAACTGTCCGACGTGATTGATGTTACAAGCAAGAGTGCGGTGCACGTGCTTTCCCGATAATGAAACGATAATTGTTTAATCGGTCTACGACGAGTGTCACAATTAGCGACGATATTTCCAGTCCGCCGCACCGCCATTTCGCCGGCATAATTTTCCGTAATTTGCCCGGATGCGACCTTGCTCCGAAAAGCAGAGCAAGCTGCTAACCTTGCACGCGTGCATCCCTCCGATTGAAAGTGCAAGCGCTGGCTGTCGATAATCCTTAACCGCGCGCGAATATCCTGACACTGACAAATTACGGAGTTTAGAACTTGTTAATCTTGATTATCACCCTCGTCACACACGTACAGACGCACACAAACACGGTGCACCGTCGCTGATGCGCGCGATGAAAAATTGTAGGAACGGCTGTTGTAGGAACGAACGAACGAGCGCGAGGCCGACAAAGTTAAGAAGTATGTGTATATTGCGTGTTTTCGGAAGTTTCCTTTTAAAGCTAACGGTAAACTGCGAACTGCCGGAATCGCCGAATTTAATGCACAGCATCCGCCGGAAAGTTGGCACAACGCGAGCGAACTTGAGCCGACTCTATCGCCGAACGGAAAGAATTAATTAACTGACTTTAGAAACTTTGGAGATACATTTGTTGTCAAGAATCTCGAGACAATAATAAATTTTAGATTTTTTATATATCTTTGAACACACAAGCAGTCGCTTCATTTTCCTCGCGAATCGTACACGTTCGAACCTTTGACTAAAACTCGTACAAAAATTATTAATTAAAAAAGGTAGATGCAACGTAAAATTTTGATAATTACATATGTAAGAATATTTTTTTTATATTAATATTATATTAGAGAAATCACATTCGCAAAATATCGTATTCACTGTTACAAATGATTACGGAAATCCTTGATTTTGTAAAGTTCTTAGTAAAAAATATAAAGAAGGAACGATCTCTTGATTTATTCGCAGTATTCGGAATGGTAAAATACATGTGATCCGTAATAGTTCCGTAATTTCTGTCGGTCGTGGCTCGACTTGAGCGAATTCAAGCTGCATCCGAATGTACAAGCGACACACGCACGCACAGAATAATCTTGTATATTCGGTCTACGTAGCCGGCGCACATAATTAATCGCGATAATCCTGCCCTGATGCAACGCAGCCTAACGATATTATCCTACGTCGTTGCGCCGCTGACCTTGTTTATAACGTCGAAATTAGTTATACCCAACGTTCACGAGAGAGATCGTGTTTCTGGTTACGAGTTGCAAGGAACATCTCCCTGTGGATTTCAGCGTACCGTTGTGCATAGAACGCGATGCTCGCGTTTAACCTTGGGGCGTTGTGCTAGGAATAGGACCAGGTGGTGAAAATATTTGATATTAATAAATGCCAAATGAAAGTAAAGGGAAAAATTCGGTCTTACTCGGCGAAACTTTTCGCTATGCGTGTCAACTCTACCCGCGGTGCTCGACTATGATTTTCGCTCTCGTTTTTTCTTCCTCTCGCGCAGCCAGGTTTCTGCTCTTTTCACGTGTATTTTAGTGGTGAAATATCATGGAAAATATGTCGCGCTGGATTTATTCGCTGTCGAAGCAGCAGACTGATGCGATCATGACCTATTGTCCGTTTTTGATGATTGCTACTTTTTTGTACGTTTTGCCGAAAAGCAAAATCCGCTGGATCGCTTCGATCTACTAGACTTGTTTTCCAAAATAAAAGTGGCGGTCATGTCACTGTGCGCTTGTGCGATGATTGATACTTTTTCGGCGTTTTGCTGAGAAACAAAATCCGCGATTTTTATCGTTTCGATCTAATCCGTGTGACTAGACATCAAAAATGGAATGGGTGATTTTCGTTTCAAAAGGTTTATCTTTTGTAAGCTATTCCCTTTTGGAATGACCGCTTCAATTAGGCGAATGATCAAATAGTCCGCGTATAATTACCAAAAAGGAATTTATGATCGCAATAAATTTTTCTGCCCATCAACGGGCGCAAAAAAAACGAGAAAAGACGTCATATCCGGCGATCGGCGGTGCTGCGAGTTTAAATATTTGTTTCATTTACCCCTGTCTCCATTAATTCATTATCCTGCAATAGGCATCCCCAATGGCCATATATCGCACATTTTCGACGGGAATAATCCCTCGTACTGCGAATGGCACTCAACGAACGCACCATTCAGCGTCGTTGAATGAAGAGTTCTCGCTGATGTGTGAAAATCCACGCAGCAACTTCTCCCATAGACTAAGTAAGAGAATGTTAATGACTGGACAATGCTTTAAAAGAGAATCTCGATCGCTCGACGTGCGATTTCAAGTAACTAAACGATAATATCTCTGTAACTACATTGTCTGAAATATTGTTTAATCATTAAGCGTATAATAAATGGTTTAAACAATCATCTATCGATTATTCAAGTGCAATTACACTTTTTTCTATGTTATGTTTGAAACATTTTTCACAATTATGCAAGATATTTATAATTATGAGAATTGATTTAAAAAAGTAATTTACTTTTAATTTTAGATTAATTTTTTTTATCTCCATAAGACATATTTAAATAGGACACAATTTCCTAGAAGAAAAACAATTTTGCATTCAAACATTGTGTAGTATTCTTAAATACAAATTAATGTTAATGTTATATTAAACGATATATATAAGAAATGATAAACTATGATGTCTATTGAACGATATATATATAAGAAATGATAAACTATGTCAGCTATGATGAGATAATGTAACACATTGCAGGATTCAAACAATTTACGTTATTGGTATCTCCGGTAAGTGTAATTATCACGTTGCAATTTGATGCGTTGACCTCGATAATATCAGCGTGCTAATGACATTGTTTACCACATTAAAATTGACGTTCCCGTTCGACCAGCACATGTCGATCATTGTGCCATGCTCGAATAGCGCACAGATGGATAACTTCTCATTAATTTACGAAAGGAGACAATTACGTTCCTGAATAGTCTCGTGAAATTGAGGATATTGTCAATTAATTGCACTACATTTTTAATAATACGTTGATTTATGATTATCGTTTAGTGTTCATTTAGAGATTAATATATTAAAAAATTAAGCATTAAAACTCGGAATTTTCTACAAAACCTTAGATTGCCATGAAATTATAGCTTACAATTATATTTGAAAATTAACTTTATGCTATTTTAAACAAATCACTGAAAAATATAAGATAATCAATATTTATCTGTTATATATATTCTTATTCTACATCATTGCATATTTAAATATTGGAATTAAAATTTAACGTTTTTTTACAGTTTAAAATGTAAAATATTTTTCAATTTTTAATTTACATATAATTATTAAATACATGTTTAATTGTGTGATTCCATTTTGGAAAGATACACTCACAGATATACACTTTCAAAAGGTAGGATTCAAGCGTAATAACTTGTACAGGATTCCCTATGATCTCTCTCGTTCTGTACACAGAGTTAAATTCCGATAATCGTTTGATCCGTATAGACTATTAGATTAAAGCCTCGTATGTTATTCCATAAATACGAATGCACTGATGAAACAGTTCGTAGCGAAGAGCGCTGATTACCTTGAGAAAATCAAATTTGCACGATTATGTTCAACGAAACATAATCTTATTCACGGTGCGGAAATTGAAATTTTAATTTCGAAATGTCGTTTCCTCGTGACCAAGTTTGTGCAATCTAATTACGATCAAAATTATTTACCCTGCACGCCGTTTTGACGAATTTAATCCTTGATACAATAACAATACGATAATTTCGATAATTTATTTTGTTTTTACACACTCTCTGTTCGCAATCAAACATTCAGCAATTTAATTTAAATTTTTACTGTAAATATTTATAAACATCAAGAATAAATTAAATGAATATTAGCTTAAACCGAAGAGAATAATTTTTATTATTTGTCTGTTTTAATAAACTTATTTAGTTTAAGATTTAGTTCAATATATTTCTATTTTTTTACAGGATATGTATAACAAAATAGATTGCATATGAAAGAAGTAATTTTATTTTTTAAATGAACTTTTATTATATTATTTATGAAGTATGTATAAGTTTGATTATAATATAAGTTTATTTTATCGATTACTTTACAGTTAGTGACTTTCTAGCAACTTTACAAGTTTCCTGCCTGGCAATACGAAATTTCTGTATACATACGTGTTACTTTGTAAGTAATACATCACTTATACATTATAATGGATAGTTTCTGCAAAGTATCTAAACAATAAAGTAAGTATTTCATTAAATCATTATTGTTTGACAACATATCGATATTTAATACAGTATACAAGGTGTCCGGTAACTAACGGACCAACGATTACAAATGGATTCTTTGGTCAATTTGGGAACGATTTTTCCTTAGCAAAAATGTCGAAAAAGGTCATCATTTTTTACAACTTTCCAATATTTGTCATTATGTATCTTTATAACTAAGCCTCAAATTAAAATTTTATTATATAGTAAACTCTACCTGAAATTAACTGAAGAATGTAATTATGTTAGACTTTTAACTCCAAAACGTTTAGTTTTCAAAAGACCCATTTTTTTCAATCGCTTATAACTCGAAAATTATTGACTTCTCTACATTTTCGCTAAGAAAAAATCGTCTCCAAATTGGCCAGAGAATCCGCCCTTAATCATTGGTCCGTTAGTTACCGGACACCCTGTATATGAAGAGATATATGGTTATGAATATTATATAATAAATTATGATTATATTATAATTTAAATAATTTATATTCAAATAAATGTTTTTTCAAATATTCATGATCATACATCTGATTGGAAGAATATCACAGAGATTTCTCTGAATGCTTGTGTTATTTCGGTTTCTGTAGAAAAACATCATTATTAAAAATTAATCAGATTATAAGTGGCTTTCAGATGATTGATTACAGGATTTTTCGCGTCGACCAGCCCGGCAGGCGTTAATCTTCCAATCGCGCGCTAAACCCGTTCTGGTTTCACCCTTCCAGCCGATCTGCAAATAACGGTGCATAATCAGGTGAGCGCATTCACGCCGAAACACAAATCAACAATTCCGGAGTGAACGACTACCCCTTTCGGAGTCATACATTCGATACGCTCGACTGGGGGAAACAATCGATTTCGGAATCTCTTCTTTCTCCAGTGCGGTGAAACCCTTCAACCGATCGGGAATTGAGCGCCCCAGCATCGGTCCCGGCCGACATCCGTCGATATCTCTGGATAAATATGAAGCTCACCCGCACATTCACGTGTAAACACGTTGCATATCGATGCGGCGATTCCGTACAATAAAAGAGAAAAAAAAAGAAATAAAAATTTCAACACACGCGAACACGTATAGAGACGTCGACTCTGTCGCGTTGCCGCGCGCGGCAAACCAAATGGATGCTGCATTTGCAATCAGCGTCCGATATCCGAGCGTGCTAAATTTGAATCGTTAATATCGCGCACCGACACGTCGGTCGTCATTATTCCAGAAAGATGACTCTAATCTATCCGCGCCGTCTCGTCATAGGCGTAGGACCGACTATATTGCTGATTCATGTCTTCGATAGGAATACCGTGTAGTTAGTTAAGCGCGGTGAAATCTCTCTCTTTCTCCCTCGGCTTACCGCTCGAGATTCGTGACAACCTTCCTCATCGTATCAGACTCACCACGGATCTCGAAGTGGCGCCGGCTGTCTACATTGGGATAAAACCCGGATTATTATGTGTACCAGCCATATATATCTTCCCGGTACAGAAGGGAGTGTCAGTGTGAAAGCCATGACGGATACTGCCCTCGCTTCTGATAACAATGCTGATAACCGGCTGCGCGAATCCAGTCGTGCCATGGTGTCCGTTGTTACGTCCGTTGTTACGAGCCACGGTTGATTAATTCACGTTGATTTTAATTTTCTCGCCGGCAAACCGGAGAGCTCAAAACCCACCCAATTGCGGAACAACAATGTGGAAATATCTTTGTTCGACAATCCGATTAACATCGCATCGCTTTGTGTTAGAGCGTTAATTAAAATAAGCTATGTTGCAAAATAAAGTGGTGCGAAAATATACGCGCGCGAAAATTGCAGAAGCAACATAGATATACAAATTACATAATGCAGAGATATTTAAATTGTATATGATAGAAATGCAGATATGTATATGTATTATATCTATAGTATATCTAATGCAGTTATTTGCAATTCTGCGTTACTTTGCATATTTTACGGCCAGTCATGACACACAATTCCAGGAGACTCTCGTATATGAGATTGGATTAACGTCAGAGGGAACAGCTTATACTATCCGCTACATTCTTACTTATAATAGATTAACGCAAAAACAAAATTATTATTATTCTATTAATGTATGCATGCGTTTAACTAACTTTAAAAATACTCGTGAACAATTGAACATAATGTTATTTCAACCGACCTTTATGTGTGAAATTTATAAAATCTAATTAAATTTTACTTGTAAATAAAATAACAGACTTAAATAAACTAGATACACACACACACACTTTTTTATTCTTAATAAATAGATATTATATATGTATCTCGGGGATAAAGATTAACAAATGTATAACCAAGCGAATATGAACATATCTCTTTTTTAGATATTTAATCAAATATATATATCAAATATGCTCTCTCTCTCTCTCTCTCTCTCTCTTGATACCTTTAATCATTCTTATTTATAAAAAATATTTTTATTATAATTATTTTTTATTCTCTTTTTTCTTTTCTTCTCTCTTTCTGTTTTGTCGATTTAATTTTAAACTATCTACACACAATATAACACTTTAATTTTATATAATAAAAATAATATTTGAATAATATATAATCAAAATTGTTCACCAAAATTTTTAAATATAAAAAGACATTTTATTTTTTTAGAATATAGATAGTTCCGATTGTACTTAACGTAAAAATTAGGTTCCTATCTTTAATAGTAAAAAGAACAGGTTATAACATTTTAAGCGAACCTAAGTAACGTTATAAGAACTTTTTCGACGTCTGAAATTTAAAACTTTAGGCTCATAGAAGTTTTAGGACTTTTATAAAAGAATACCATTTTTTTTCTTTCTTTTATGAAACGTTAAGTTGACAGAGAGTAAAACACCATGTGTATATATATATATATATATTTTACAGCCTCGTGTTTAAGATGCGAGATGCAATTTTATTTTTTAAGATCTATACGAGTTGTGCTCAAAATTACGATTCTGTTTTATACTATGAAAAAAATTATATTTTTCACAAGCTTAATATAACTTTCATATATCTCTGATATTCATAAAATATCACAATTACAATGTAGAAAACTATTGTTATCTACAAGTTATTATTATAAATGTTTAGTAATTATCTAAATATTATCTTTGAATATCTATAATTTAAATATTATCTTTGAATA